ATTTATGTCATATCGTTTGCAGTAATATTAAGCTAACTCAGAACATGTTTAGACTACCAGCTATTTGATTAATAACCATTATACACTGTTGCCCATAATTGCTAATAATTTTGTTTTCAGAACACAATCCTCTGTTTATTCCTATTAATCGCATCAGTAATCACTTGGAAGAGATTAACTACTAAAGTTTGAGAAATAACCTTTATCTTCAAGAATAAATCAATTTGTCACAATCATTCATGGAAAGAGGTAAAAAATATTTTATTCCAACTTCATTGAGCAACTGTATATCTGAATATATTGTTATGAACAAAAGTTTGAACAATTATGTTTTAGCAGGAATTAATGTTGTTTTGTTGCTGAGGGCAAATTTTTTCACCTGTTTCTGAGTCTTTGCTAAGCTAAGCTAACCCAGTGCTCTAGCTTCTCACATGCCATACTGATATGAGATTAGTATAAAAAATTCATCTCACTTTTGAGAAGAGCGAATATGTTTTCAAACATTTCAAACTATTTCTTTAAAGAAGCTATTTGTAAGGTTTCTCTGCTTCTTGCTTGAGCCGGTCGTGGTGATTGTCGCTGACAGAGCTTCAGCCATTGTTGCATTTACAAGACAAAGGTTATACTGCATCCTTTGAGTAGCACTCATCTTCAGGGCAGGAGGCTGCAGCTCTCAGTAAATAATGAACAGGCCAGGCTAGCTGGCTAGCATGCTAATTCAGTAGAAGAAACAGACTAATAAAGACAATAGTTAACATTGGGTATGTTACCACACTGGAGACAGCTCTTGGCAAGTTAAAGAATGAAGTGTGATGCTGAACTCCACAACTACACTTGTAACTGCCGTCACTGTCACGTTAGCTATTAGCATTGCAAGCTTTGACAAATAGCTCCTTTAATAATTCAAGCAATCTTGGCTCTGAGGCTAGCTAGTAATGCTTGTGGTAAATGTTTGTTAGGTTCTCTTTGCATTAGGTTCTCAAAGCAATCACACTATAAGAGTAACTAGTGTATGTGTTTCTGTACCTAGCTCGGTCAGCACACTCCACAGCTCCGTAGATTTCATCAAGGATCAGAATAACCACTAAGTTAATGATGACCGCAGTGGCCGTCACTGTCACCGAACATTGGACTTGGTCTCCGGGTCGGGGCTCATTGCCATCAGGGCCGACACTGTGATTCGTAGGACATGACCCGAAGACTGCTGAAAACGTCAGCCCAAACTGGGAGCAAAGGGAAATAAAGATAGAAATGAATTTAGTCATCATGTCTCATATTTATGTGATAGTCACAGTGCAGTGGCTGGATTAATATTTATAGGAAGACATCGATGTAGGTCACCGTACTTGTACAAAACTCTGTCATATACATGTTTATTTTGTATTTAAAGTGCTCTCATCCATTTACTGAGAAAATATATGATCCCTAGTAGACCTTAACCTGATTTTTATTGTACTAACCATGAAGAGGATAGAGGAAACGTTGATGAACGTATCCAGGAAGACGGTGCTTTCAGGTCAATTTGTCTATGGCAGTCTGGCAAGAAGGATGAGGTGGGGGTGGGTGGGGATGGGGTGGAAAAGAGAGGAGCCAGTTTGCAGTTACTCATACAATCGACAATGCCTCATTACCTTTATAGGAAATCTGAGGTGCAGACCACAGAGCTCCCTAAGAGAATCCAAAAAGAGAAGAAAAAAGCTGTTTCATTCATAAAACAAATCTCAGTGTCCTGCTGGCTATGAACGCATGTCACAGTCCCCTTCTCTCCTTTCAAACGTTTTGGAAAGCTGAATGGGGAGTGGAAGCTGCGCAGCACTCTTGGCTCTGTATGTCGCTGCCTCCACAGGAAACATTACTTACGTCTCAACAGAGAGGAATAAAGGAGCACAATAGCCCGTTTAACAGTCTGCATCAAATTGGAGACCAGCTGGAACGAATGTTTTCATTCCATAGAATCTCCTGTACCAGGCTACCCCAGTTAATGTGTTTTATCCATTTTCCCAGGCACTGACATGGGAACATCGCTGTAAACTTGCTTTAGTATTAAATGAAAAAAATTACACAAGAAGATGTGGTTAGTGCAGTTACTTTGAAGTGAAACATTTCTGTGTCAGATCTGGACTCTTTGACCATTTTAGACCAACTTTTATACTGGACAATTTTTGCTAGCATCGTACAAAATTTGTTGACCTGTATTAAAGAGATTCTTCACAGTTTGGGAGATACACTTATTTGCTTTCTTGCAGAGTTAGATAAGGTTGATACATTTCATAGCTACAGCCAGGAAACAGTTAGCTTGCACTAAAAAATTTGGGGTCATGTGGTGGATTATCTATTGATAGAATTCAGTGAATCCCTCAAGTCTCTGCTGGTTGTGTGACCTTGTGTGATGACAAAGCTCACAAAGTTACTGTGCTCAGCCAAAAATAGTCCTGACCTTGTCTTTTTACACTTTTTTTTGTACAGATTGAACACACAAAATATGTTCGTTAGAGAGATTTAGATATGTTGGCAGGCAGATTCTTTGTCTTTCTTTCTGTCTTGGCCGGGACCAGGCTCGCTTTGTCCCTCTGTTTCCACTCTTCATGTGAGCTAAGCTAACCTGTCCTGACAGTAGATTCACATTTACCTACAAATGTTAGAGTGGTATTGATCTTCTGATTGAACTCCTGGCTAAGAGAGCGAATGAACATTTCCCTAAATCCCTTTATAGAATGAACTGTATTCAATTCAATAATGTTAAGGACAGCATCCTGCTATTGATCACTAAATCATTAATCCCTACCAACTCCTGGCTGTTGTTGACAATAGCTGACCTGTGGCCCACCTGTAAAGGCAGGTTCTAGAGAAATTTCGTGATACAAACACAGGCTGATGTCACTGTGATTACTGGATGCATCTCCACCAAAGGAAATGCTTTATCATTATTTCATAAAAACCAGAGCGAAAAAAGCACAGCTTTTTATGAATAAAACCTATCAACAAATACATTGTTCAAACTCTATCAACATTCAACTCATCAGTGTCAATCAACGCCCAAAGTTGAAACCAATGAGAACTGTGAATCCACTCTGTTATTGATTATTTGACAGGCAGGTAAAGGTGAGCTGCAACAGCGGCCAGAACATGAGATCAACACAAGACAAAATCAGTAAAGTGGTCCAAGTTGTATTCACTGATTAAGTTCTGGGTGATCCGGTGTTAAAAACAGAGGTGAAACAAAATAAATGAGAAAAGAAATAACATTTTAGACTTTCTTAATGTCTCCAACTTGCTGATTCTCCCTCGAAATTTTCCCTTACATTAGTGTATATAACAACGTTCTCTGCCTGAAACCAGTGGAGAATCTGACCCACTTGCTGCTGCTGCGACTCGACCGCTTGTGGGTAAACCACGATTTGATCTCTGAAAGACAAATGCTGCATCACATCCCAGGAATGCGACCCCCTTCACCCAGGCACCAGTGATTATAGGTACCTACACACATATACTTACATGGGCAGGCTGAGGCAGAGCCGGAGAAGAATTTCACAACACAGACGTTCACATTCACACAGACCACACAGAGATGGACCGAGCCTGTGTCGCTGGAAGATCTTCAGTATGCTAAGACAACAGACATCTAGTGAACACAATGGCTCAGTACAACCTGGAAACACGCTTCCTCGATTTTCAAATGCACAGCAACTTATGCAACACACTGCTGCTGTTTTGTTCATGCTGTGAATAGTACATTTTTAAATAGAAAAATAATAAGTAAATAAAACACATAGCATGTACCTC